GAGGCAGCCCGTGTCCAAACAGGAGCCCAGTACACTGAGATGGCAGAAGACAACCCCTTCTTACAGGCTGGGGTCAGGCTGGAGCATTTCCCTGACGAGAGGTGACAGTCCTGTGAGGCAGCTGGGGTGGGGTGAGGGGTGGGTGTGGGATCTGCTGCCCCCCAGGCCCTCAGCCCTCCCTGGGGGTGGCACAGCCAGTCACTCAGATCAGCCTCCAGAAGAGATAAGGAGGGGTGATCTGATAGGGGTGAGTCAGGCTTGTGCAGGCCCCAAGGCCTTCAGTGTCCTTCCTGCCCTGAGCACAGGATGGTTAAGCAGGTTGTTGTTGCAACCTAAATGTTGGACTCAGCCATCTAGTGGGTCTTCATAAAGCTTATATGGTCCTTTGATTCAAAGAAAGGGCTGAGACCTGTTACTAGGCCAGGAAGTCTCTATCCAAATGATAAACACACTGACGTTCTTCCACACTTGCATCCTTGGGACGTTTCTGGTACCACCTGAGACAGCCTCTCTCCAGGCTGTGAGCAGCATGGCACTTGAAAGAATAGGAGAAGGAAAGTACCCCGGGGGATGACATGCTGACCCAGTGGGATTTTATCCACAGAGTTTATTCAGTGCCAGGCTTGGTTGCTGGTAAGCAGCTGATTTCTGTAACCAGCTTCATGTTCCCTTATCAATTGTTTGTGAGTAACTGGTAACATCACCCATCAGCTGAAGCTCTCGGTCAGGTTTGTCTGACATTCAGGAAAACATGTCTAGCAGAACATGGTCTTATTCTGATGAAGCTGTTCCATTAAAGACATAAAAATGCAGTTGTTCCAAAAGTGAAGTTTTCTCTGTGGGTTCATGGGAGAGAATTAAGGCATCAGGCTTCTAAGCTCTACACTGAGCCTGCTCAGGTAGTGATTGCAAAGGGAAATGTAGCTAATTTGAAATGAAATGGTTTTTAGTAGTGTGCTAAAACTCAAAACACTTCCAACAACATGAAATGTTTCTTATTAATTAATGCTTTAAAAAGATTTCATGTTTCTGATTACATTTTCTCAGAAATAAATCCCCAAAAGATCATGATTTGTGATAAGCCATGGTATCTCCTGCCTGATTTTGAAGGTGGTGTGGGCAAGGCAGGGTTTGCCCAGTCCTTTTGCAGGCTTTTAGTTGCCATTTACCAAAAGATTGCACAAGTACATAAAGTTCAGGGCTCATTCCTACTTGAAACATCTAGATGTTGCAGGAAGAGAAGTACTAAACAGTAGGTTATAACATTCTCTTTTTAGGGTTCTACTTTACTGCGCTAACATTACTTAAGGTTTACAAGTTCTCCAACCAGGTCTTCCTCACTGCTAGTGGCTTTAGATGCTGCA